TGGATTTATTTGCTGTTGCTTAAATAACAGTGTAAGTTTGATTTTAAGAAATAAGTTAGAAAAACATCACAACCTGCGTTAAAATGGACACGAATGCCGGTCATAACTGCCCGTTGAATTTTTTTGTAAAAAAGAAATTAAGTTTAATGAAATATATTTTGAAAGACAAGGTTTTACATTTATTTCACTATTTTCTAGTATTAATTTTCATCTAGTTCGTAATCATAAAATGTAACCTGAATAAAACTTATTATTTTTATATCACATCCAGTCGTATTCCAAAATACCACTGCAAATAATAAAAAAGTGCTAATTAAAAGGGTAAAGGTGTGGAACGCTGAAAAATTTTTAAATGATTATTTCTGATTATAATCGGTCAGTTTTTCATTCAAGCTGAACTTCTCCTACACCTATACCTCCTGCATTTAGCCTAGAGAACTAGACCAAATTCTTGCTTTGCAAAGTTTGGTCTAGGCATGCTCCATTGGACTCTGGCTAGCCAATCACAGCTCTCTAGAGGGGTTTCAAACACATAAAGAGCTGTGATTGGTCCATAATGGTGGGCCAATCATAGTGCTCTATCTGCTTAGTGAACAAATCACAGAGCTTTATCCACTTCGTGGGCCAATCAGGGCACTCTATATGCCTGGTGGGTGGGATGATGCAACAGAGTGAAACAAGAGTATGTCACATGACTACGTTTGCATGCAGCCAATATCCGGGTTATGATCGGGTTAAGGTCGGTATTCGGGTTTCTGAGTTGATCAGAATAACCCGTTTACAAGCATAAATAGAAAGAGTTACTCCTAACTTGCATAACCCAATTTAAATGCGGACGTTGGGGTAGCGACAGGACGTATGGACTAGGCCCAGACGCAATATGCGGTTCTTCTTGTTCCGGTATCGTGAAAACAACAACATGTTTCCCAGTTCGGAAGAGATAGCGACCGCGTTTGTTTGCGCTTTAGTTTCCTCGTCACTCCAAAAGTGTGGTGCTGTGCCGCGACTCGCCACGTTGCTCCCAACTTGTTGTTTACTTCCGGTGTTCTGGCGCATACAAGACGTCTCGCTACTCAAAAGACCAAGATTCCTTGCGAACAGAGCATGCGCAGAACACACGCTTTGATGGGGATATCCAGGTATGCGTTTACACGACCAAACATTCGGGTTAGAAAAGGGTTACCCCCAGGTGTAGTAACCGGGTTTTTAAAAACCCGGTTATGAGCATATCCGGGTTTTTGGCTGTGTTTACATGGCCGTGCGGAACCGGGTTATTGTGAATATTCGGGTTTTAAAAGGGTTACTGGCTGCATGTAAATGCACTCATTCATTGTCCAGTGGAATGCGGAAATCATTTGAAAGACAACGGTAGAACCCGCCCCACAGCCGAGAGCCGTCAATGGAGCGTGGCCAGACTAAATAATACATTTATTTAGTCTGGCTTGCCAGGCTATCCCGCATTAGCTTCTGACAGAAAATCTGGTTCAGTTCGGCTGACCTGTTTACATGCAGAATGCATTTGGATGGCTACCGCGTTATCTGGGTGCTTCAGCTCGATTAGAACCAGTCCGCTATCAGCCACACTAACACGTTTACAAGCAATTAAAAAAACTGATGCAAGTCTTTTTACAGCAGTACTTTTGTTTTCTGATGTGCATGTAAACGCACTGACTATCACTTCACATTCATGGACTCGTCAGTCTTGACTCACAAGGGGCAGGCTGTTGTTTGTTTAGCAAGTCAGTGGTAGAGTCGTGGTGCTGTTATCCAATCCGAAGTGAGATTTCCAGAAATCAGGACATAAGGGATCAAATCCTGCCGTGTTGTGCAGCAGACTTTTCCATTCTGATCCAAGTGCTTCTGGGATCTTTTTGACCTGAGTACAGCTTGCAAATGTATTGACGAAACAAGTTTCCCACACCTTTAAAGTGGCAAAGGTAGTGGTTAAAAATTGTAAAGAATCAAAACGTTTCACGATGAAATAGAAAAAAATAATCTACTCTGATCCCAGTCTAGACTTCAACCCTGTTTTCAGTCACGTGAGGTTTTAAAGGTCACTGATTAGCATCATGACTGAGTGTTTAGGCAGCAGTCTGAAACTGGCAAACCTACAGAAAACCCAAATCTTTCATGTATCTCATTAAAATACTGCGTAAATCCTCCATTTGCTTATCTCCTAATTCTCTGGGGTATGATAATTTGGTGTTACACCGAGTAACATTCTGAGGCAAGGGGCCATATTTGCAAAGCTTTGGTCTGCAGCTAACTAGGGTGCGTGAAAAAACGGGTGATTTCATCAGAGGAGGTTTTGCATTTGTAGGAAGTGATGAGATGATGAAAATAACGTGCATGCAAAATCCAAACTGAATTTGGATGAAGGGGTAAAACAAGTTGTTTGGCACTGTCCTCGTGGCTGCTCTTTTTAGAGCGCTAATAAAGAACTGACCAGAAATGTTTAGTGTTGCCTCTTTTTTTTAGGAATCCATGAGCATTGTCTCAAGTTCTGCTTTTAAACCAACAGCAATCTATGGAGAGAAGTTCCTTTAGGCACATGAATGTAGATTTCACTTTTCTTAACAACAAAAACAATTTGTCTGCGATCGCCTTACATCTTATTATTAATAAAAAGGCAAAATTTGTATTTCTTTTAAAGGTGTGGTCTGGTCACTGAATTTCTCGTGCAGGCTGAACATGAAAATAGTCTCCTACACCTATCTCCTGCATTAGCTTCTGATAGAAAATATGTTTAGTTCGGCTGACCTGTTTTCATGCAATTAAAAAACTGACACAAGTAATTTTAGGGCAATACTTTGGTTTTGTGATGCGTATGCAAATGCATTAACTGTCACTTAACATTCACGGACACATCAATCTTGACTTGCAACGGGGAAGGCTGTTGTTGGTTTAACGTCCAGGAATCAGCAGACAACGTACCGACTAGTATGAGCTAAAAGTAAGCTAGCATTAGCAACACCACTACATGGAAAATCTCCTCCTGGTGGTTGTTTGTGGAGATAAAACATCCACGTTGCAAGTCAGTGGTAGGGTTGCATTGCTGTGTGTTTAATCAATAGATTTGCAGTAGTCTCTAGGAATGAATGCCTTGCAAACCAGAGCGAGAAAAGCCCAAAAGTGCTTGGATCAGCAGGTTTATTTCCAGATATTTGGATATCTCACCTCAGACTGGATAACAGCAACACAGCACTACCACTGACTTGCAACGTGGGTGTTTTATCTCCACAAGTAACACAAGTCACGAGGGGTTTTTCTGTGTGACGGTGTTGCTAATGCTAATGATTAGCTTCTACCAGTCAGGACCTTGTCTGCTGATTCTTGGACGTTAAACCAACAACCGCCTTCCCCGTTGCGAGCCAAAATTGACAGTGTGACCTAGATTTGTCAGGCTTTTCAAATCCTAGTGTTTCACCGTCTATTTTCTATCAGAAGCTAAACTAGCAGATAGATGTAGGAGACCATTTTCATGTTCATCCTGCATGAAAACTCACAGTGAACTATTACAATCAGAACTAGTCATTAAAAATGTTTTTTTCAGAGTTCCACACCTTTAAATAAATTCGGGTTTTCAGAGAAAGGATGAAAAATTCCCTTATTTTCATTAAATAAAAATGCAGAAAACTTACTGATTTAGATTGTGATTGGTTTATTTCAAATAAATTAGAGGTTAAAGAGGAAGAAGATAAAAGAAACGATTGCATGAAGCACAAACAAATGTGTCGAGCTGACATTTTTGTGCTGGAGTTGTGGAAAAATGGCGATGGTAACAGTCTGGAGTCTCTCATTTGGTCTGGATCAGCCGCTGCAGGTGTCAGAGGGTGAGAGGTCAAGGGTTGAGCTCTTTAAGCCAAACGCAGGTCAGCGCGGGGCTCTGGGGCTTTCCATGTGAAGTGAGGGGTGCTTAGATGGAATAGGTGGAGCAGAGAAAACGAGCCTGATCCAGTTCCAGCCAACTCACTGATCAGGATGAGGTTGTTTATCAGTGAAACTTGTAGAGTTAAGGAGCTAGAGGAGATAAATATGAGCAACTCAAGCCTTAACGTTATTCATGATTGTTACATGTGAGGGTTATTGCTGATTCAAAGTGATCAAAGACTTTGCAAACAACACAAGTCACTTTTTAACAATGAAATATTGACATTAGTGAGAAAATAAAGACCAGCACAGGAATTAGTCTAATCATGAGGTCAGACTTTATCCAGTTGAAACATGGCAAAGGTTAGAATTTGTGCCTATAATGGAGGTTTTGTACATTTGTTTACCAAATCTTCTCTTTTTTTCATTTTCTCACTATCATCTTGGCATTTATACAATGCAAGACATCATTAAATGACTACATTTTTACATTTTTCCCTCCTTGTCCTGTGTCTTGTTTGAGCAAAACATTTTAATATTATGTGGGCTGTCTCCTGACATGTTTCCTTTTCTTTTGTATTCACAGTATAGACTAGGATACATTTGTAAAGTCCTCTACAGCACCTTACTGGCTCTAAAACAAAGCACAAATCAAATGAATCTGATGAAAATCGTATTTATTTTCTAGAGAAGTGGGCCATGAAGTGTCAGATAATGAATAGGTGCTTACAAAGAAACGAGGGAAAAGAATAATTCTGTTGATTTGCCATGACACTGGCTGAGAAGGAGCAAGAAAAGCCGTTTTTCTATCTTTTTTATTTTTGTTTGTTTATGCCTGTGTTTACGTTCATGTGCGCGCGCCGCTCCTGCTTAAACCCACGTTACTTTGATTGACAGATGGCCATTACCCACCGCACTGCCCGCCCCGCGCGCTTCCGAAGTGGCAGGCTCGTTCGAGGCGCTGATTGGTCAAAAATCGCAAAGCTCCGCGAGGTCAATGGACTTTAGGAATTTTTCAAATCCGCTATTGGACAATTCCACATGCCGTATTCTCGTCCCCACGTGGAGCGGCTTTTTTGATTGGCCAGCAGGCATTTTGTGGGCTGGTCTTGAGTTTCGGTTAGATGGGAAGCGTGAAACCGCGTGAGAAAGTTGCCATTGAGGTAAAGCAGAGCTAGACGTTAGAGTGCTCGCGCTGGTTTGTAGATTTTTGTTTATAAAATTAACGATATATTTCCTCTTTTTTTCGGTGAAATATGTTTTGGACGTAGCTTCCCACCCGAGGTCACCGTGGAAATTATTAATTCTGCTTTTATTGACTGTTTAACCGCCAACCAACGACCGCGACGAGTCAAGTGGGAACTCTTCACTGCAATTAACTTGTGTGGATATTACGTGTCTGATGCTCCGAGAGCGGACAGTTTGTGGCTGTGTGTGTTCCGACTCGTTGGGTGTTTTTTGAGTGTTTTACTCTGTGTTTGCTTGACTCGGAATACTTTAAACTACACCTGGTTCCGACCCGCCTCCCAGCCTTTGCTGCCTCCAGGTAACGAGCGGTGCTTTTCCGGTTGACTTAACGCTTGCGCTGTCGCTGGAGCACAAGAAGAGACAACGATCCGGAGGGTCGGTGCGAGGAGGAGTCGGGGCATTCCCGTTAAACGCTTGGTGAGCCCGCAAACTGCAAGGCTTGAATTTAACATTCAGTTGGTACTCTAATAAAAGAAAAGGCGGATGGATACGTGTCCGTGAGGAGCTTCACACACCCCAGTGCTTATTCGATCCCTCGTTATCTGGGATTCAGGAAGGACACGCGGCATCCTCGCTGAGATAGGCAACGATGTTCCCCCAGGGGCGACACCCGGTAAGTTTCTTCCTGTTTTAGTTGTTTTTCATCCTCCTCCGCGGTTCCCTTCTGATACCCGAGCTCTACAATCACAGAGTCAAGTTTTTAGACTTGAAGTGAAGCTCTGAACTTTTAAAAACTAATATCAGGCTCCACTTGGCATCGTGGTGTTGATAATCCTGTGTGTTTGTGTTAGACGCCCCATCAGGCTCCGGGCCAGCCCTTCAAGTTCACCATCCCAGAGTCACTGGACCGCATAAAGGAGGAGTTCCAGTTCCTCCAGGCACAGTACCACAGGTGGAACAAACACACACACATACACACACACACACACACGTCTGTCTACCCATCAACATCAAACCTCAGTGTAACCACAGTCGTCACCCTCTCCCACACTAAAAACCCCAGGTCTGAGCTCAGACTAACCCATAAACCTGGATTATGTTCACATAAAAGCATGCAGCAGGCACCATTTTTAACATTTACACTGCGGTAGGTCCAAGTCTTAGTGATGGGTGAGAGCCAAAGCAAAGAGTCATGTGGGCTCAGGGTTTTATGAATTAGTCGCTGTTTTTCCCCTCCACTGTTGGGCTTATTTTGCATACTTATTCTGTTTTGTGGAAGCTCTACCCACTTTTATTTAATTGCGTTTTCAGTGCAAGTTGGCGTAGTTGGCGTAATGATGGGTGAAAGCCACTGGCTCTCAGACTAATAAATCTGCATACTGCATTGAACACACTCATCACGTCACTGCAAGAATTTGTGATTCTAGTTGTGTTTGCAATCATCCATATGGGTGCTCCAAAGAGAATTGGTGTTTTAAGACAAGAGACAGTTGTTATGTGCTTACTTTAAATATAGGGCAAATAAAACCGAACTTGTTAAGCTTTCAAAAAGTTTTATTTTTCCTCTAAACAGTGCACTGCTTTATATTTTGCAGCCTGAAACTGGAGTGTGAGAAGCTGGCCAGTGAAAAGACCGAGATGCAGAGACACTATGTCATGGTAAGATCCTTTCGCTGCGATGCCTCACATGACATGCTGCAGGAAGGCCACTGAGGTGCCCTTGGGGAAGATCATGTTGTTCCATTTCCAGATGTGTAAAAGATTTTCATGGAGTTTACCTGAACAAGGGGAAGTCCTATTTAAGTTAAAATAAAACAATAACTTGAAAGTAACACCTGCTTTTTGTGTAAAAATGATCTTTTCCTTACTCAGACACAACAAAAAGTGAGATTAGACTGCTTCGTTTTTATCAGTTTAATGACGCTAGGGTGAAAAACGGCAATAAAAACTAAATGTAAGAACTACACAACATCCTAAATAAAAGCAAAACTGAGATCTCAAAAGACAACAGCAGCAGATTTGCATCACATAAACTTTCAGTTTTAACCTCAAAGTTTCAATATTTTTACGTAAGCTGAGTTAAAAGGAGGCGTGTTTAAGGCTTTTAATTCACTTTTGAGGCACTCTACCTCTAACGGAAAGTGACTCATTTGAATGGTGGGCTTTCTACAGGAAATGTGATTACTCCTGGGGCCTTTAAAGAGTGTTGCACAGTTTAAAAAAAACTAATTGTTGTGAAAATAAAAGATTTCTCTGACTAAGCTAACTGTGTGACTCTGTCCTCAGTACTACGAGATGTCATACGGGCTCAACATAGAAATGCACAAACAGGTATGGCTGCTTATCTGATCTGTACATCTCCCCTTTTCCACTTCCTCTTGGCAGGATTTTGATGTATTTAGCATGGGTGTGTGTGTACGTGCTCAAAAGTGTTTGTCTGTTAATTTGTTTGTGTGTGTGTGTGTGTGTGTGTGTGTGTGTGTGTGTGTGTGTGTGTGTGTGTGTGTTATTCTGCAGTGGATGTGTGTTTATTTGTGATCGATGGGGCTCTGTCTCCATTTTCCCAGTTAGGGCCGGCCAGCCGAGTCTAGAGGCAGAATGAATGGCTCTGTAGATTGATTGGTGCTGTCTAGGGGAGCGGTCTGCTTTATTACATTAGATGGGCCGGGCTGGGGAGGGCAGAGGAATCGATCAACGTGAGGCCAGCTGAGGAGATACAGTGTCGCTCCCCTTTTGTAGAAGCAGATGCAAACGTATGAGACGATGTAGCAAGGATACTTGTGTTTACAAACCAGACAGGGCATTCGTCCTAAACTCTAAATAATGTGTGCAAATGAGGCCATGGGTAATTTACTGCAGTTCATACAGCGTAATGCATGCACAAATACTGAAGGTTAAGCATGTTTATGCATGAGTGTACACAAATATATTTCTGACTGCAGGAGAAAACACTCACCTTCTTTTATTCACATTTCCCACAGGAGTAGTGCAGGGCTTAGAGCATTTACCAGTAATTACCACTGCTATCGACCAGTCAGACCAGAGGAAATTGGAGGTGGATTGGCTTGGCTACTTCACTGAAAGTAGAGGATGCATTTCTTTTTTTCTTTTTTTTTTAAACTCTTTTCCTTTAGTGTTGCTCTCACATTCTCTACCTCCTTTGCTGTTATTCTCTCTGTTTTACACCCCCAGGTTCTGTTCTTTTCTTTTAGGGCTGCACAATATATCGAAAAATTATCGTCATCGGGATAACAGGACGTGCGATAGGCCCATCGCAAAACACGTCAAAAACGGCGATAAATGTTTGGTTCAAACATTTCCATCCATGTCATACATCAACTTTTTGTAAACCAGCTCTGTTTTTTATGTGGAAGTATTATTTGACCAATCAAATGTAGTCCTTCTGATATGCGGCCAATCAGATGGGTCCGTTCACATAATACGCCCGCCCCTACGTAGACAGGATGGGTGGAACGCAACACCCGAACTGAGTTAGCGGCGCCGTTTCCTTGTTCGTCATGCTGGCTCAGAGCAACGAACACACTTTGTGCTGACGTTTCTGGAATCAGCGCTAGGGATGGGTACCTTTGACATTTGAATCGATCCGGTACTAATTCCCGGTACCTAGGAATCGATACCAGTACTTAACGGTACCAATTTTTGATACTTTTGAGTGTTTATTATTTTAATTCTCTTTTATAATTAAATATATATTTTTCTCAATATATAACCATATTTGATAAATATCACGATAAATAACATACAGCTGTTTGTATTTTAACATCGTCCTTGTAGTTTTATAAGCTGATAATTAAACTGAAGCAAACATCTTTACTGTGAACTAAATTTACTGTATATCTTCATTCCTTTTGCCGTCTTTTTTCATTTGATTTTTCCTACTGGGAAGTTAGAATTTCCGAGGAGAAAGCGAACGCACCATTAGCTGATAACAACGGTGGCAATGGAAGCTAACATATCAAGCTAACATTATCTTTAACAGTTTATTTAGCTGCTGGAGCAGATTAAAACGATGATGTCTCACACTTAGATCATTGTCGCTGGTTTCATCTTCACCCAATCACCTGTCGCATTTAGTAAAGTGAAGCCAAACTTTAGAGCGCGTTCATGTTCTAGTCGGAAATTCGGAGTTTCGAGGAGAAAGCGAACTCGCCATTAGCGAAATGGAAGCTAACATATCAAGCTAACGTTATCTTAAACATTTTATTTACCTACCGGAGCAGATTAAGATGAGGATGTCTCACTTAGATCGTTGTCTGTTGCTGGTTTCATCATCACCCAGTTACCCATCACATTTAGTGAAGTGGACCCAAGCTTTAGCGTGCGTTCTTTCTACCATGCTGCTCTGTTTACAACTCGCTCGCAGCGACCGATGACTTAACGCTCGTGCGCATGAGCAGCTGTCTAGGCAAGTTCTCGTTGTGAAGGACGGGTACCGAAACGAGGCACCGTTTGAAACGACGTGAATCGGTGCTCGGTCGGTACTATTTAATTCGGTCGGTAACTTAAAAAGTACCGAATTCGGTACCCATCCCTAAGCGCTGCTTTCAAACGTGAACGTGAGTCCGCTTGGTGTCGTTAAGCAGCTGATAATAACCGGGCTGACTCCTACACGTGCCGGTGAACCAACCCACCTTCATGTTGCTAGTGTTCCACCGGGTGGTGATGTTAGCCCCAGGCTCCGGTTAGCTTCCAGCTAAAAGGCTACAGCACTCTCCTCCCAGTCCCACCCTGCTAAAGAGGGCCTGGAAAAGTTCCCCCACACATCAATGTGATTTTTCATTTATGAGCTTTTATAACCTTGTTAATCAGGATAGTTGATTTGCTGCTGCACATAAACTGTCAGTCAGAAGCTCTGCTAGCTGGTTATCTTAAGAGGAGCTAGTTCAATTAGTTAGCTTGTTATCAGAATCATAGTTGCAGTTTCATCATCTGAGCTGCTTTTTAAGATCTAGGTAAACTTGTTCAATGTGGGGTTAAAAACAAACGTTTTCACATATTTTCCATGTAGATTTTTGCCAGTTCCTCTTCTGAAAGGTAGACAACTGTTTTTCTCTTTCCCTCAGAAAATCTTAATATTCTCCTAGTTTGGCCCAGCACAGTTCACTTCCCAATTACAGCAACAGCCTTATATCATAACCACATAAGTGGAGAAAATGCTCAGTAGCAATGAGAGAATTTGCTGTTGCATTTAAGTGATGTTAACTATTATTTAACATTTAAAGTAATTTTCTGATTTTTTAATTTATTCAAAAGACCCTGGTGAGGGATGTTTTTCTGTATTTGGAGCATCAGAAAAGTTTTATGGTGGAGGTGATGTTTTAAAGTCACTGAGGAACTGCATGCATGCAGTTTGTTGTTTTGCTGCTAATACAGTAGCAGGTGCAGCTGCATATTTTTGCCATAAAAATGTTATGTTATTCATGCATTAGTTTTTGTTTGCTTTGAACCCAGAGCAGACGTCACACGCCAGATGACATAACACTGCATACTTTAGTATTTGTTCATTTATCGCAAGTAATATCGATATCGCAATATTAAGCACTGTTATCGAATATCGCAGGTTTTCCTAATATCGTGCAGCCCTATTTTCTTTCATCGCTTCCTCTCTCTCCAGTCCTTTTTTATTCTGGTTTTCACCCAGACCCCAAGCTGCCTCCTCCTCTTTCTTTGTTTTTCCTTGACTCCTCTTTCTTTCTACGTCCATGTGAAGCTGCTGTTCTTTCATTGTGAAGGAGATGCAGCTCTTCCTATTGTTCACACACATGTAAACACACACACACACACTAAAGCTTCAGGGGAGGTCATTAGCTTGGGGCTGCAGTTGTCAGAGCAACAAGCTTCTGTGGGCGGGTGGTACGGGCATACAGACTAACAACCCACCTCCTGCTGGGGATGCATGAAAATGTGTGTTGTGCGTTCGTGTGTGTGTGTGTGTGTGTGTGTGTGTGTATGTGTTGTGTTGTGTTGCAATAATGCTCCAATTATATGTGTAATAGGAAGCCTGTTCATCTAATGGACATTTTGTTTGTATGCTTGAAACTTTTTCTATATTCTATATTGGGGCGACGGTGGTTCAGGAGCTAAGTGCTCGCCTCGTAATCGGAAGGTTGCAGGTTCGAGCCCCGCTCAGTCTGTCGCTGTGTCCTTGGGCAAGACACTTAACCCACGTTGCCTGCTGGTGGTTGTCTGAGGGACCGGTGGCGCCAGTGCTCGGCAGCCTCGCCTCTGTCAGTGCGCCCCAGGGCAGCTGTGGCTACATCATAGCTCATCTCCACCTGTGTGTGAATGGGTGAATGACTGATTGTGTTGTAAAGCGCCTTGAGGGGTTCCATGACTCTAGAAGGCGCTATATCAAATACAGGCCATTTTACCATTCTCAACTTAGAAACATGAAAGCTTCTGTGAAAAATTTCCATTGTTGTTTTTCCAGAATTGCAGTAAAATATTTATTTATTTTCCCTTTAAGAATCTCTCAGAAGAGTTTGTGATGAAGCCTCACATGATGTTTGCAACTTTGAGTGTGTTTGGCTTTGTGTAGTAAATTTGATTAGCAAGGATAACCTAATAGTAGCTGGTCAAACTATTCTCTGACAGCATAATCACTTAACCTTTACACAAATCTAATTATTGGCTTACAGCAGGATCCTATAATGGATGAACATGTATGGTCTGCCTGAAATAGAACTTTATTTAAAGATCTCTTTGCATAAGTTGGGTATGCTCACGCTTAGCAGGACGCGCCTACCTCATCGTTTTAATTAAGTCAATGTATCAGTTTATTTTATATGGTACACCTAGACTAGTTAGACAGTTTTCAGCTTCTCTTCCACAGAACATCAATGTCAAAGATGTGTGACCTCACTAAACCAGACCAAACAGTGTCTACCCTCTCATACTCTAGTCTATTATTTGTCCATTTATGCATTAATTACAGTGAATAATTTCTGTTAGGAGTCATTTTGACAATGTTAGTGGATTACATTTATTTAGTGCTTTTTAAGGCACTCAAACCACTTTCCATTATTCATACACTCACACATTCACACAGGGCATTTTCAGCTTGTTCGACCATAAAGTTGGTATTTTCTGACCCATAATGGAGTCCCAACACCAACTTCGAGAACCACATATCTGAATAGCACTGAGAACATTACCAACATAAATACAGCCCCACACAGATCTATTGAATGTTCCAATCCCATTTTTTGAGCCATTTGATTTTCAGTATCTCCTGATACAGAGTCCTAATCTGAAACTTCAGCAATGCATTCAAATAAGAAAAAGAGAACACTTCAAAATTATTTATTTATTATAATTATTTATGTATTTCTTGTTCTCTGTACTCATGTATTTCCCTCAGTTTATCTGCTAAAGAATATCACTCGTTCAGAAAGTACGCAGAGGAGAAACATGATCCTATTACAAATATATTTAAAAGCTGTTTCTTGCTCTTATTTCTAATAGTTAAACAATGTGCGGCTGTACTGAATGATTCATATACCTGCGACAGGGCAGGCACGTCACTGCCAGCAGGCTCGCTCTTTTCTTCTAAACACCTGTAGAGCTCTGTCTGTAAAGGGTGATGACGTGTCCACCTATCCATCTTCTGAACCCGCTTAGTCCACATAGGGTCGCGGGGGGGCTGGTGCCTATCTCCAGCAGTCAACGGGCAAGTAGGCGGGGTACACCCTGGACAGAGAGCCAGTCCATCGCAGGGCAACACAGAGACACACTGGACAAACAACCATGCACACACACACTCACACCTAAGGACAATTTAGACATACCAATCAACCTAACAGTCATGCTTTTGGACTGTGGGAGGAAGCCGGAGTACCCGGAGAGAACCCCGGAGAACATGCAAACTCCATGCAGAAAGATCTCAGGCCGGGAAGCGAACCCAGGACCTTCTTGCTGCAAGGCAACAGCTCTAACCACTATGCCACTGTGCAGCCGTGATGACGTGTCATCAAGTGTAATAAATATACTGCTATCTTGGTTGTGACTTTTTAATTTTTTTAATTTTTTTTTTTCCTGTCGTAGGCAATTATTTTTTGTTTTAATGAATATGATCATTGTTGGCTGGCTGCATGTCTTTCAGTGAGCTGACCAGGGTTTGTTGTAAAGGTGGCGTATCAGATTTGTAGTGTTAAATGCAGCTCTGTGTTTTCCACCACCTTAAAGTCCCAATTTGCACACATTACACATAGCTGTTGTGCTGCCTTCACTGTCCGGTTTAAAACACGTCCAAACTGGAGGCATATCCACTTTTCTAAGATGAAACGCTAGCTCTACGTTAGTCTGCTGGCTAACAGCTACGTGTTATGTTTGAATCCCTCGTCGTACATTGTGTGACGTGTTGGTGTTGTTCTCCATGCAACAACCAATATTAGTATAAAGGAACATGTTCAAGTTAAAACAAAGCCAATTGCCATTTGAAAATCTGTCTCAGGATGAATTTAAAAGGTCATGCTCGTTGTTTTATAAGGTTATGTCCAATAGTTTCCACCCAATTCAGAGAGTCCTTATATGTAAACGGTTTGTTTTCATTACAGATTATACAGATCTCCATAACTAGAGAAATATAAAACCAGTCTGCAGGTGAAAGCACTGAAATTAATTCAGATGTGCAAATTAAAATGCTAACATTTTATAAGAATCAGTTCTTGTAGATTAAAATAAAATAGACTGCATTTGTCATGTTTTGGGTATGATGGCTGCAAACTACATACACAAAACATAAAGACACAACACAGTTTTATTGTTGTACCCAAATGCTCTTTGTTTAGTTGATAAATGTCCAAATATACATGCTGTTCTTGATACAAAGACAGGCGTGGATGCTTTTCTTTTGATGTGGAATCAAGAGTCCATTCTCTATTTGAAAAGTTGTTAAAGTGCATTATCACATTAAAAATGCTATTGTTTTACTTTAGTGTATTTTAAACAGGTGTAATTGTTTAGACTGTTGAAGTAATCTTTCTTGCCATTTGTAATGGGTCCAGCCTGTAACAGACTGGAGAAGAAACCCCATTTCTGATTTCTGACAACATAAAAGCAAGTTGTGACAGAAGCAAAGCAGATTGCAGGGTGTCGGTTGAAGAAGGTGGAGAAGATCAGCTGTTTTGATAAGGCTCCATCGCACCCATCTGAGAGAAAAGTATCTGCTAATCTAATATACCGAACCACTCCTCCATAAGGCCTTTCACTATAAACATTTATGTTTATGTTTATTCATTTAGCATATGCTTTTATCCAAAGCGACTTACAGTGTATAACCTATAGGGCATGTTGTGATCTGTGGGGCAAACCGGAGTACCCGGAGGAAACCCACGCAGGCATGGGGAGAACACGCAACTCCAAGCAGAAAGGCTGCAGCCGAGTTTCGAACCTGCAACCTTCGCGCTGCAAGGCAACAGTGCTAACAATTGCGCCACCATGCAGCCCATAATTTAATAGAATAAATTAGAGGTAATTTTATTATGGCCTCCTTTTTCTGTGCTTGTATTTAGTTTTGTGCTTGTAAAAGCATCAAGTTGCTTATTACTTAAAAACTGTATAAACTTATTTTTGAATTGCACTTGAGATTACTTAAATGATCTTCTGGTTTTTTTTTCCTATCGTCCAACCAAAGGTTTTGTGAGGTTTCTGTAATATTTGCCTGTAATGCAACTCGGGCCACCCCAGTGATGATGAAGCTTAAACTGTGTCTTGCTAATGAATTACCTCCTGTAGTTTTTACCCACCTAACTCCCCTTCTTCTAAGAAGTGTCATTTTTAATCTCGTCAAGGATTATGTTTTTATTTACTTTCAGGTATTTGCCACATTACGTACGAGGCTAAGCAGTTACATGTTTGCTTCAAGACTTCTAGAAAACACACTAGGTCTTGTTTAAGCTTGCTCAAGTACATAATCGGCTGACCCGTAGCGGGGTCGGCTCTCTGGTGAACTGCCAGTTGTATGTGTGTCAGAGCTTTTCTGTTGGCGCTCGTATGTTTCAGCTTAAGAGTTAAGCTCCTCTTCGTTTTTTCTGGAATCGTCAAACCCATTAAAACAGTTAAATAATTCAGAGACCTAGATTGGCGTTTTTAAAGGACTGGAAATATCCCTGCAACTATTTGATTGGTTGGAACGTATTCATGATTTTCAGAGCTGAATCAAACTGATATGTTGTGGCAGATAAATAATAATAATAATAATACATCAAACTTATGTAGCACTTTTAGGACACTATTTCATGCACTCTCACATTCACACACTGCCAGTGATGGTAAGCTTCTACGTAGCCACAGCCGCCGAGGCGGTCTGACAGAAGCGAGGCTGCCATTTGGTGTCGTTGACCCCTCTGACCACCACCAACATGGGCAAGTTGGGTGAAGTGTCTTGCCCAAGGACACAACAGCAAAATACCCCTGGTGGGAGCTGGAATCTAACCCATGGCCCTCCGATCATGAGGCACACCGCTCTACCTCCTGAGCTACTGCTGCCGCCTCTTTGTGACTCTTTGACGGTTCAGCAACTTTCTTTAGCTTTTTTTTATTGTTTGGAATTGAATTTGATATTAAACTTCCATCTCTAGTGCTCATAACTTTCTTAATTTTTGTAGTTTGTTCTACATGTCGAGGGTAAATGTCAGCATGTTACATTAGTACAACAAAGTCTTTAATATTCTAGAGTGGTAAAGTGATTAAGCTAAACTGACTTCTTGTCCAGAACATCACAAGTAACTTGACTGACATCGGGAATCCATTCTGGGTTTCTGAATACTGGATGGTTGGTGGATGTGTTTTTTTCTGGACTTTTAGGATAAGTTTGTTGAATAGTTTTGTTTGAAAGTGTTTACTTTTGGCATATCAAACATTCATGTCTGTGAGCTGATAAAATAATATGTAGAAGTTAAATCATGTAAAAAAAAACGCACAATCATGAGGACCCATCTAGTTCTTATTTCAGTTAACTGGTTAAACAACATTTCAAAATGATTTCAGTCCTAAAGTTTTAAATGTAATTTCCAACCATTTCAATATTTTCTTTGTTGATTAATGTTGCTTGTTTTGATTTGAGGCCATTAGGGTCTGGATCGATTCGGTCAGAATGATCCTCCTGGCCCCCGGGTCATGTTTCTATGATTGTACCAAACTAAATCAGTCCGCTGGAACACTGTATCCTTAAAAAACGTTTTGCTTTGAGAAACTTTTCAATGCTGTTGTGTTGCTTCATGTAAAATACTTTTACAGAATTAATACATTCACAAGGTGGTTCTCATTCAGCATGTTTTTGTGTTTCTATTTATGCTGAAGGGTTGGTTTATGTTGAGCCTTTCCTTCGTTTGATGGCTCCTCCGATTCTCTCCTCATGCGGGACTTTGCATCTTTTTTGATTGGATGATGTGTAACTCAAGATTCTTTATCTGATTTGATGCCACCAAGGGGGTATCTGGTTTCAGCCAATTGTAGCCACCTCGGGGGGGTTAGGGGGGCAGGCGGATGTGTTGGCATGGATACGAGGGGAGAGCAAATGAAGTTAGTCGTTGATTAGATTATATTGAAGTGCTGATGGGAAGGAGGACAAGAACACACAGGACAGAGGCAGAGTTAGAGAAAATCGAAAAGAAAAAAGACGAGAGCTTGTTGAAAATGAGAGCGAAATCATATTTTACCGAGTGCTAGAAATGACCTCACATTGAATCCGTGTGCAAAAGAGAGTGGAAGAGTTTTGTTGTTGTGTCATCATCTGATATTTTGTGTGTGTGTGTGTGTGTGTGTGTGTGTGTGTGTGTGTGTGTGTGTGTGTGTGTGTGTGTGTGTGTGTGTGTGTGTGTGTGTGTGTGTGTGTGTGTGTGTGTGTGTGTGTGTGTGTGTGTGTGTGTGTGTGTGTGTGTGTGTGTGTGGGCTTGTATTACTTTATTGGTGTAACTGAACAGCTGTCATTTGTAAATGGATGCAATTATGTTATTAGCAACTGAGTCTCTTTTTATCTCTCTGTGTCTCTTTTGTCATCAGACTGAGATTGCCAAGAGACTAAACACCATCTGTGCACAAGTCATTCCCTTCCTCTCACAGGAGGTAAGTGTGTGTGTGTGTGTGTGTGTGAGACACACACTGTTTTCTGTCCTGACAAATCTGTGTCTCATGCATGGTTCTGTATGTCTGCCTGCTTTCCAGCATCAGCAGCAGGTGGTTCAAGCTGTGGAGCGAGCCAAACAGGTGACCATGGCAGAGCTTAATGCTGTCATCGGGGTACGTGGACTGCCAGGTCTTCCACCTACGGTGCATATTTTTATCTCATTGTTTTAAATGCTTACACTAATTCTCAATTCTCAGTGTTTGTTTCAGTGCCTCGTGCTTTTCCCTCCTTTGATCTGGTGTGGAATTGGAAGCTGTTATTGTGGTTTTGATGGCTTTTGTTGCTAGATTTGAAAGTTCCCAGTTTGCTAATAGGATTCCAACAATGGTCTAATAGAAAGAATACAATTATATTGTATTTTTTTCAGAAACCTTTAAATGGAGTTTAGCTAATTTCAATATTGGCAGTTGAAAATGGCAAGATCCGTCACTAAAATAGACACAAATAATAAGACTGGAGTAAAAACCTTAAAAATAGAATATTAACACATATGAAAAAAATCCCTGCATAAAAATTGCAGTTAAATAAAATATAAAGTAGCTGCTACAACAAACGAAGGCTGGGTTGATATGTGGCGTTGTCTACAGGGTTTACAAATTTGCATAAGTACTCTGCACAAATACTTACTCTTTTTAACTCCGTATCTTAATGTTTACTCTTTAAGTCAGTCTTCCTCTGCTTGATCTCTTAAAATCTGTAGAAATTTCACTTAAGTTGTTTTGAGACTCTTACAATGCACAATCAAAAAACATTATGACCATTTTCTGTTCTTCAGTCTTGTATAAAGAAACAGGAGATGAAATGAAAGGACATATATCTGTTTATTTTTGTTTAACTGAAGTTTAATGATCTGCCCAGCTAATTGGCTTCAAGCTGTTTAATCATAGAACAGGTATCAAACTAGATACCTGCGCTACACAGCATCAGACTACGGTGGTGATATTTATTCACCACAAGAAAGAGCTTTTAGGAGTGGGAGCTGATCTTTTGGTGGTGATGACTCTTGAGGTGGGATTTGACAATAATATCGACCCTTACAAAAGGGTGTGTGTGTGTGGGTGTGTGTGTGTGGAGGGGTGTGAGTTTAGGTTTAAAAGAAATGTGGGAAAGATGGAGGGGGTATTTGTGGTTTTAGTGGGATCAGAGTGTAGTTGGCTTAGATGTGGGGTGGGCTTGTTAGTTGGTGTGGACTGATGGGGGTCTGTTTTTTTGTGTAATGGGGTGAGAGGTGGATTTGGCAGTTGCTTTTTGGTCTTAATTGCAGGATTTTTGTGTTTGTAATGGGGGGGTCACGTCGTTGCCCTCGCACCCCGCCATCTCCCCTCATCTCCCACGCCAGCCTGTCATTCACCCCGTTTGTGAGTTAAATGAGTGTAATGAAGCATGTTGCCCTGCCTCTACACACACACACACACACACACACACACACACACACACACACACACACACACACACACACACACACACACCATCCAATGACAAAACTGGGCTCCTCTTGTCTGCACCAATGCTTCCCCTCCATTTACTCCCGTCGGGGGTGCTTTTTGTGTAACTTTGTGTACGTAATTGTGCGTTAGTGTGAAGCAGAGCGTGCATTTCTGTTATCCTCAGAAAACAACATGCAGGCAGCAGTAGGTTAGTTGACTGAGAGTGTTTTTGCCTGCCTTGTTTATCTCCACTCTGCACATACATGTTAGTGCACTCAAGTGTGATGTGTGGGTGTGTTTGTGTTTCATTTTTTGGCATGCATGCCAACTGTTAAAATCGTGCATCAGGCAGCTGTGGGGGCTAGAAGACTGTTTAGTTGTTATGCTCTCATTCACTGGGGTGGAGGTAGGGAGTGAAGGATGGATAGAGAGGAAAAAAGAAGGTGGAAGCTCAGGGGGTGGGGTGGGTTAGTCAATTAGGTGAGATAAAAGTCGGTTTGACCTTCAGCACTCCTCCCACCCCTGCTGAGTCGCCTCCTGTAGCCCCATCCCCCCAAAATTCCTCCTCCCCTTCTCGTGGCGAATCAGTGAGCTTGGATTCCCGCGGCTGCTGTCTGAGGAGGCAATAATGATGTTTTGGAACACAAAGACATTTCACGCTCAGACGAGCGCCTGATTTGGTGTGAAAGAGAGCGGGGCTGCCAGCCAAACTTGCCCTCCCTTTCTGTCTTCCTGACCCTCTTTTCTCCTTCCCTTCTCTCCTCCTTCCTCAGCCGCCTCACTCCCTCACAAGACCTGACAGTGCAAGCAGCAGCTGGGACTCTTGACTATCTACCCTCTTTTTCCTTCTCCGTCATTCTTCCTTTTCATCTTCATCTCCCTCCCCCTCCTCTTCTCATCCACATCCTCAGGCTTTGGGCTGTGATCCCAGCTGTCAGTATTGTTCAGTGTTTGGTCAAAGAGAGAGGAGTCTCTTTCTCTTTCTCTCTCTCTCTCTCTCTCTCTCTCTCTCTCTCTCTCTCTCTCTCTCTCTCTCTCTCTCTCTCTCTCTCTCTCTCTCCTCTCTCTCTCTCTCTCCTCTCTCTCTGTGTGTGTGTGTGTGTGTGTGTGTGTGTGTGTGTGTGTGTGTGTGTGTGTGTGTGTGTGTGTGTGTGTGTGTGTGCGTGCCTGCGTGTGCACGCACGTATGCAGCAGTGTGGGGTAGATGTGTGCAGCAGCTTGTTGAGGTGGTGTAAACCTCAGACATCATGGATACCATCCCATCTGTTTATGGCTTTAATGGGGCCTGCATTGATTGGGTTACAAAGTGTTTTTGGCTCATGACTCAGTTTCATTTTTAGACACATTTTTGAGTTCGGGACATAAATGATTTCCACATTTATGCAGCTATGGAGGGGTTGTTAAGGCTCCAGTCAGGTCATCAGTATTGTGTCAGCATCATGCGGACTGCTGGTCAGTTAAAGACTGAATATATGATGAATTGGGGATTGATTTCTTGCTTGAGGTAGTTTGTGTTTTTAGTTCAGCAGACTGTAATTATGTCACATAATTACTAAAGTTTTCATTCTTCATTAACAACATTATTGTTATTATTATTGTTATTGAACAACAACCATGTTCTCAATGAACCCAAAAAACTCATTAATATCAAAGCTGAATGTTAATGGAAGTAGTTTTTAGTTTGTTTCTAGTTTGAGCTATTTTAGGGGGATATCTGTGTGTGCAGGTGACTATTACTGTGCATAATTATTAGGCAACTTAACAAAAAACAAATATATACCATTTCAATTATTTATTTTTACCAGTGAAACCAGTATAACATCTCCACATTCCCAAATATACATTTCTGACATTCAAAAACAATACAAAAACAAATCAGCGACCAATATAGCCACCTTTCTTTGCAAGGACACTCAAAAGCCTGCCATCCATGGATTCTGTCAGTGTTTTGATCTGTTCACCATCAACATTGCGTGCAGCAGCAACCACAGCCTCCCAGACACTGTTCAGAGAGGTGTACTGTTTTCCCTCCTTGTAAATCTCACAGGTTCTCAATGGGGTTCAGATCAGGTGAACAAGGAGGCCATGTCATTAGTTTTTCTTCTTTTATACCCTTTCTTGTCAGCCACGCTGTGGAGTACTTGGACGCGTGTGATGGAGCATTGTCCTGCATGAAAATCATGTTTTTCTTGAAGGATGCAGACTTCTTCCTTTACCACTGCTTGAAGAAGGTGTCTTCCAGAAACTGGCAGTAGGACTGGGAGTTGAACTTGACTCCATCCTCAACCCGAAAAGGCCCCACAAGCTCATCTTTGATGATACCAGCCCAAACCAGTACCCCACCTCCACCTTGCTGGCGTCTGAGTCGGACTGGAGCTCTCTGCCCTTTGCCAATCCAGCCACGGGCCCATCCATCTGGCCCATCAAGACTCACTCTCATTTCATCAGTCCATAAAACCTTAGAAAAATCAGTTTTGAGATATTTCTTGGCCCAGTCTTGACGTTTCAGCTTGTGTGTCTTGTTCAGTGGTGGTCGTCTTTCAGCCTTTCTTACCTTGGCCATGTCTCTGAGTATTGCACACCTTGTGCTTTTGGGCACTCCAGTGATGTACGCTTGACTTTTCTCAGTTCATGGGCAGTTATTTTGCATCTTGGTTTGTCCACAATCTTCTTGCGACCCTGTTGACTATTTTGAATGAAACGCTTGATTGTTCGATGATCACACTTCAGAAGCTTTGCAATTTTAAGACTGCTGCTTCCCTCTGCAAGATATCTCACTATTTTTTACTTTTCTGAGCCTGTCAAGTCCTTCTTTTGACCCATTTTGCCAAAGGAAAGGAAGTTGCCTAATAATTATGCACACCTGGTATAGGGTGTTGATGTCATTGTCATGAAGAGGATGATGTGGACAAAATAGTTATTTGCCTAATAATTCTGCACTCCCTGTATAAGGAACCCAGCAAATTGCATCAAGTCACTGACTAGTGTCAGTGACTTTACAGCAGTCCTCATACTAAGCAAGCATTTAGCGACAGTGGAGAGGAAAACTCCCTTTTAACAGGAAGAAACCTCCAGAGTATCCTGGCTCAGTATAAGCAGCCATCCACCACGACTCACTGGGGATGGTGAAGACAGAGCAGACCACACACACACACACGCATGCACGCACCAAGTAATGTTTCTATGGTTATATTGTGATTTCTTAGTAAATATTCTATTTGGCTAGAGATAAACTTAATTGTATTTATCCTAGTGGATCTATAATTAAACGGATAAACTAGTAGTAGCACATCCAACGTCAAGGAAAGCAAAAAGTTATTATCAGGAGAGGGAGAATGATTAAGTGGTTAGCAGCAGTGTGCTAGACGATGGCCCCCTCCATGAGGCCACCACAGCTCAGCAGAACATCATTGTAGCTTCTTCTGGGGAGAAAAACACTTTGAGAGAAAATAAAGTTAACAGCTGAAATTGCAGAAAATAGTACAGTTAAAGAGCAGATTGTAGAAGAAAGCAGTAGAGTGTGAAAAGTGGTCAGTGTATCCTCTAGCAGTCTAAGCCTATAGCAGCATAACTATAGAGATAACTGGATAATCTGTCCTATTTAGATGGAGGCATGTTGGAGGCAGGGCAAGGGAGAGCCGTCTTTACCGACTGTACACTCCACCTCCCTCTACTCCCCCGCTTGTCCAGATTTAGGCTAACATCAGATTTTAACCATAGACCCTATCAAATAAAAGTGTTTTAAGCCTATTCTTAAAAGTAGACAAGGTGTCTGCCTCACGGACTAAAGCTGGGAGCTGGTTCCACAAGAGAGGAACCTGATGACTAAAAGATCTGCCTCCCATCCTATTTTTAGATATTCTGGGAACCACCAGTAAACCTGCAGTCTGAGAGCGAAGTGCTCGGTTAGGAACACATGGAACAATCAGATCACTGATGTATGATGGAGCTTGATTATTAAGAGCTTTATATGTGAGAAGAAGGATCTTAAAATCTATTCTGAATTTAACAGGTAGCCAATGTAGGGAAGCTAAGACAGGAGAGATATGATTTCTCTTTTTAATTGTCATCAGAACTCTAGCTACAGCATTTTGGACAAGCTGGAGAATTTTAACTACATTCTGTGGACTTCCTGAGAGTAATGAATTACAGTAATCCAGTCTTGATGTAATAAATGCATGAACTAGTTTTTCAGCATCACTCCTGGAAAGGATGCTTCTAATCTTAGCAATTTTCCGAAGGTGGAAAAAGGAAATCCTACAAGCCTGTATAACGTGGGATTTGAAAGACATGTCCTGGTCGAAGATAACACCAAGGTTCCTTGCTTTGTTCTCGGAGATTAATTTAATGCCATTCAGGTCAGGTGATTGAATTAAGCAATTTCCTTTTCTGGAGTTCTGGTCCAAAGATGAGAACTTCAGTCTTGTCTTGATTTAAAAGCAAAAAGTTTTGAGTCATCCAACTTTTTATGTCTTCAAGACAAGCCTGTAATCTACCCAACCGATTAGGTTCATCAGGGTTAATGGATAAATATAACTGAGTATTGTCAGCATAACAGTGGAAGTTTATCCCATGCCGTCTAATGATTTTACCAATTGGGAGCATATATATAGTAAAAAGAATTGGTCCAAGCACTGAACCCTGTGGTACTCCACAAGTAACCCTGGAGTATGAAGAAGATTTGTCATGTACATTTACAAAATGAAATCTGTCAGACAGGTAGGATTTAAACCAGCCTAGCGCTGTCCCTTTGATCCCTACAACATGTTCAAGTCTTTCTAAAAGAACATTGTGATCTACTGTGTCAAAGGCAGCACTGAGATCTAACAAGATTAGAACAGACACAAGATTCTTATCTGAGGCCATGAGAATATTATTTGTAACTCTCACTAATGCAGTTTCAGTGCTGTGATACTCTCTAAAACCAGACTGAAATTCCTCAAACAGAGCATTAGTGTTTAAATGCTCACATACTTGGATGGCCACTATTTTCTCAAGGACTTTGGATAAAAATGGATGGTTAGATATTGGTCTGTAATTCATTGGGTCATCTGGATCATTAGCAAAGAAAATAACTAAATTTTTACTTTATTATATTGACATAATTAAGCAGGAATATATTTGCAATAGTTAAGATGTTATGACAGTGTTGGCCTTGTAAACCAAGTGATTGCAATCTTTGTCCTGCAGCATCCTTGACTTTTTTCCCCCAACTAATCGCCTTTATCTTCATGTATTTTTTTTGGGGGTAGCAGCAACATCTAGCTCATAACCACGGTGGAGCCCCTGTTCCCCTTATGCCTCATCCTGCTGGCCTCCACCCATCCCAGTTAGGAGGTTCAGCTGGTCTCCTTGCTCTGTCAGCTCTTGGTGCTGTTCCTCCTCACCTGGCTGGAAAAGAAGGTACTGACAAAAAACCTCACCTCAGTGGACCAGACTCCCACCCTGCAGGACCTGAACACCTCAGAGGTAAAGAAAGGTCACCTTCACTTCAGCTCATTTAACTCTACTTTAAATAAACAATTGGTTTTGTTTACCTACAGACATTTGTGCTGCAAATTATATGTGTGAAAGCCAAAGTCTAGGAATTTCTGAGTGTGAAGTAGAACTTGTTTGTTAGAAAGACACACAACTCTTTCTCTTTCTGTTGTTTATTTTCTGTTCTGATCTGGTGAACATCCAACCCTGTGACTACAACCACATGCATGTTTTTTCCACTGGCAACAGAGCGAGAGCCTGGCACGGTGAGTACTTCCTCTTTCTGCAGCGATGCTTTCTGCTCTGACCAGCAGCTCTGTTTATTTTCTTCTTCATCTTTAGTGGATTGACCAGCTTTGTGATGTAAGATAAATTTGTCTCTGTTCAGTTAATTTATATTTTTGGATTAGTGACATCTACAGAACTCCTGATAAAATGTGAATCGCTTGATTGTCTCACTTGTTATTTAAATAAAGTTACAAGTTGCAGCACATTTTTACACAAAAAATAATGCATACATGTAGACGTGTCCTTTTTAGTCAGTCTTTTTCATTTTAATTGTATTTCTTAGATATCCAGCTCTTTTCCTCCCGCAATGACCCAGTTTTCAGAGATCAATAAAATTCATCTCGCCCCGTCATTAGGAAAGAAAAGCACCTCGTAGTTTCCAACAGTGTTTCACACCCAAAGAACTTTCATCCTGTGTGTGTGTGTGTGTGTGTGTGTGTGTGTGTGTGTGTGTGTGTGTGTGTGTGTGTGTGTGTGTGTGTGTGTGTGTGTGTGTGTGTGTGTGTGTGTGTGTGTGTGTGTGTGTGTGTGTGTATATGTACAGTCTATGGTTTTAAGCGACCTCTCGGGTAGGGATTTGGCCTGCTTGTTTAGTTCTGCCCCAAATCTGCTGTGAACTGTTAGGTTTCATTTTCTCCTCAAAGTGAGCTTACACACACACACACACACACACACACACACACACACACACACACACACACACACACACACACACACACACACACACACACACACATGCGCGCGCGCGCTAGTGCTCATGCATGCAGTCCTGCAGCCCTAGCCTGCATTGTTGTGTCTATTTAACACCTCAGTGAGCATATTACCCCCTCCCCCTTAAAGACTCTCATTGTGTTTAATATCACTGCTGCTGAGAGAGGGTGTGTGTGTGTGTGTGTGGGGGGGGGGGGGGGGTCGCTTGGGAAAGGGTGGGAGTGAGGGAGCAGCAGTCATATGACACTGAGCTGTATGTGTGTGTGTGTTTGAGACACCATGCTGAAAATGAACAGGGGGCAACGACAGCATGGAGGTGGGGGTGCTTATGTTTTGCGGGTCAGTGCTTCTGCTCTCAGCTCACTAAAACCTTTCAATAAAAGGGGAGGAGGAGGTGAAGAGGGCTGGGGAGAGGGAGGGCGGCTGAAGGAAGGGGCCTTGGCAGTCCTCCCTCTCCTTTGCTCCCCCTCTTGTCTCATGTCAACCTTTCTTTTCCTCCATACTCTCACACTCTCTTTCCATCTTCCCTCCTCTAATCTAATCTCCCCCCTTTCCTCCTTTTTTTCTCACCCCTTCCTCCCTACCCATCTCTCCTAGTTGATTCCCCTTCATTTACCCTTTCCCCCTCAAAGTGCTCTCTCTCTTTCTCTCTCTCTCCCCATATGTGTGCATGTGTATGTTGGATGCACATTTCATTGACAGGCTGAAACTATAATGGACTCAACATGAGGCCTTAATCCATTAACAATAGGATCCTTTGGTCAGGAGGCCAGCAAATCCTATTCTGTGTGCGTGTGCGTGCGTGCGTGCGTGCGTGCGTGTGTGTGTGTGTGTGTGTGTGTGTGTGTGTGTCTGTCTGAGAGAGGGAGAGACAGAGTCAGTGTGTGCATTCATGCACCTTTACAAGCATGTGTGTAGTCTTGGGACACAGAGGGACACTGGAATGTTATGCAAGTAATACACAATCTCTTACACACTCAGTAGTACACACATGCTTTCACAGTCAATTACACACACACACGCACACACACACACACACACACACACACACACACACACACACACACACACACACACACACACACACACACACACACACACACTGGAGCTTGTCAGAGCCAGGAGAGGGAGCACTGATAGATTTTGAGAGCCACTTAATGTAATCATCAGCTTCAGAGGCATGTGTTTGTGTTTGACTCTGACTGGCTTTGGTCAAGTGAGAAAAGAGGCTGCTGTAAGTGTTAGCGCTGCTAAATACATGCTGAACTGTTAACCCATATGTGAGCAAGGGTCTGTTTTTCTAACCTGCTCCACACACAGCTGAGGAGCTCTTGTAATTATTGATCTGGTGGTTGAGCAAACTCATGGACAACGTACACTCAGCAAAATGCAATCAAATGTATAAGTGCCCCATTATGAAATGGTTTTCTTTTGTCTACTAATCTGTTCCTTCTCCTCTTTTCTTGCTACAACACTCATCTCTCCTTCTACAGAGTAACTCGCTGTTACCGGAAAGTCTCAGGAACTTTGATAAGCGACGCAATGGTCCCGACCTCACAAACGACACCAAGAAACGCAAAGTGGACGACAAAGACTCTAGCCACTATGTACGATATAGTTCTTAGTTTTATTTTTCCTTTTTTCCCCTTCCAAATACTAATATTTAAATGTGAACGTGTCTTTTGTGGTTTAATTGACTTTTAGGACAGTGATGGAGAAAAAAGTGATGATAACCTGGTGGTGGACGTGTCAAATGAGGTCAGTGTCTAATAATGGCTGGATTCTTTGAATGCTATCTTTTCTGAAGGTGGTATGACTTAATTTCTCTGTAATCTTGCAGTTTTGTTGTCAGGTCATTCACGTTGTTTATTTACCCACCAGGACGCAGCCTCCCCCCGGGGGACACCTCTTGCCTCCCCTAGAGAAAATGGCTTGGATAAAGCACGTCTCCTGAAGAAGGACCCCTGTAGTCCAGCGTCTACTGCCTCATCAGCCAGCTCCTCCTCTCTCAAATCCAAAGAGATGACCATGGTAGAAATCCGTCTCAGCCTATAGTCGGACAGATCCATTAAAATATTTAATAGTGACACAATGCTTGTGAATTTTTCTGTGTGGCAGCGAGAAAAGGCAGGTACACCAGGTCTAAAGTCAAGCACCCCCACACCTAGAGGTGACTCCACCCCTGGTCCAAGCTCCACACCTGGAATCCGACCCAGTCTATCAAAACCCCCATCTATGGAGATACCACATCCGCCCAGTATGTCTATACACGAGCTTAACATGGCTATATTTTTGGGTGGGGAATTAGAAATAATTCAATAATTTTGTTTGTACACTTTGTGAAATGTCTTTGTTTAAACAATGTAAACTGACATAAACTGGTCTTAAGAACTTGTTTTTACACATCCATGGAAAAAAAAATCAACATACTCAATATTAAAGAAACAGGGTATCTGCGGGTCCTTAAAAAGTCTTAAAAAGTCTTAAAAAGTCTTAAATTTGCTTTTCAAAATTTAAGGCCTCAAAAATCCTTAAAAATGACAAATAATCCTTAAATACAGTTTCCAAAGGTCTTAAATTCCCAAAGGTCCACTAAACAAGATTCTTTTATTTCAATAAAAATTTTGTGAATTTCTAGTTAGTGTTCAGGATTTTTTGTGTACGATGTTGGCGTAAGCGGAACCGTACACATTCAGTTGGTTGTGAAAGGGGGCTATTTTTAGATGAGCACATTAGCTGGTTAAGCTAGTGGGAGCTTGCGCCTTGGGGAAGTTTTATGGTAACTGGATGGCTAATCCCACGTTTGCGATGTGGTTAGCACCGGTTCCAGGAAATAGCTGGAAGTTATAGCTTAAATTTATTTAATTTTAAAAATAGCTTAAATTTGGTCAAAGTGGCCTTAAAAAAGGTCTTAAAAAGTCTTAAATTTGGCTCCTTTAAACCTGCAGATACCCTGAAGGAACCTTTCTTGTAATTTCTGCTGTTTTCTTGTAATTTCTGCTGTTTGTTTAGAAATGTGCTTGAAAGGCATACTGTGCAACTTTTTCATATTTTTTAAATCAGTTTCTTGAGCAAGTATGTTCAAAAATGACCCTGTACAAGGTCAATGAAATGTCCCTCAGACACCACCGCCCCCTGTAGCCAGAATATCACACTCGCAACTTTAGAGAGCTGGTCCAGTCTCTGTTAAGCCTGATTCATGCTTCTCCATCAGCTCCGCAAGGGACAAACACGTATGGATTGCCGGAAGCGTTTTGCTCTCATACTTCTCCGTCTCCTGGGGAGTGTTACAAAGCAATTCCCCACCAGGACAACAGAGGGCGTAGCGCTCTTCTGTGGTATGCTGTCATGTATCCGGTCTAAGATAGTGTGTTTATATTGTGTGTTTTTGTATATAAGAGACGTTTTAACACGGGCAAATTTGTCTCTCATCCTCCTCCACCTGTTCATGCGCTCGCCACCTCTAAACTCACATTTCCTGTCATTTCCGTCCACAAATAAAACGCTTGCTGCGCATCTTTTCACTCCTCCAGTCACGGGGGAATTAAACGTTCATATTTTTAGAGTTTTTTCGCGAGGTATTCTTCAAGCTTCTCCGTGTCTGCCGCTAGTTATCCTCGGCTCTCTTTATGTTTTTGAGGGCGCAATGGCGGCGGTGTAGATGACAGCGGCGTCTTGACCAATCACAAGCTTGCGTTCTCCGTCTCGACTGACGGATGTTTAGAAAAGAGAGCTCGACTCTGTCCGTCCTTGCAGAGCTCTCGATTAGGCCCGCAAGGATGTTGCATGTCTCCGCACCGACGCAGACGGAGAAGCATGAGTCAGGCTTTAGTTTTAATAAAGTTCCAGCACGTTTCCTGCATGTTTGGATCATGAACACCGATGATTTGTTTAATTTATTGATGAATCACTCCTGACATTAAGGAAGGCTGAGGAGACATAGCAGCTGTTTGATTAAGGTGTTAAAAAGACAAACGCACAGCGAGGAAATAAGTTTCACTCTTGGTTTTACTAACGGACACTAGGGGGTGCTAAAAGCAAGTCCAAACTGCCTAGTCTCCCTTTCACATATCTTTGACCACAGAGAGAATCCTAAGGATTAGCGATAACTCCTCTCTCCTCTTTCAGCTGCAGGTTTGAGAACTCCTCTGGCGGTTCCAGGTCCGTATCCAGGTGCGTTTGGGATGTTGCCCCACGCAGCAGGGATGAACGGGGAGCTTGCTGGAGCAGCTGGAGCTGCAGCTTATGCTGCTGGATTGCACAACATGTCACCTCAGATGAGCGCTGCAGCTGCAGTCGCGGTGGCTGCGTATGGGCGTTCTCCTATGGTGAGTCATCATTCAGCAAGACCCTTTTTTTAAACTCGACTCTTTAAATATTGTTCTTATGATTCTACTTTACTTAATCCTTGATTTGTGCAACAGTCTTAATGCGAGAATGCTTAAGTAATCTTCATCTCGTCTAAGATTTTATTCCTCCTGTTGCACCTGTCCCCTGATGAAATATTCAGTAGGATGGAGATTTTCTTTCTTCCTGCTTCTGATTTTTTTGTTACTTTTAGATTCTGACAGCTGGAACGGTTTCACCTTCCAGACGTGCAAATTAAAATCACTTGTCACGTCCCGATTAAACGCAGGTGTCGTCCACACGTCAGGGAGTTCACTCACTCTGTGTATTTGTTTTGTTCTACTTCAGTAAATTTACTTTGCCAGGTCTAATTTCAACATGGAGACAAAAACATTCAACTCCCAAGTCTGGATGTTTAGGGGTTCAAACACTGACTGTCTTATATTGCAAAGTGTTTAAAGTGTCAACAGTTGCTCCACAGTGTTGCTCCATTCCTTGTGACGATATTTAAATGGCGTGCTGCTAGTGAGCATTACGTTCAATCACCTTATCACTCTTGGCTGTGTTTGCTAAGTGTTCATTATGCTGTTTAAATAGGTTTAAGAGACTCACAGCTGTGTCTGGGCACCAATTGATGGCACCTCAGGTTGTGTACTCAGCCGCTGTGTGTGTGTGTGTGTGTGTGTGTGTGAGGAGGTGGTAGTGTGAGCACTGAGAGCTCTGCCTGTGTTTGCTTTGTGCTGAAAGGTGTTTGTGCTTCGTTCCACTGGTTAATATTGACCTGTGTGCTTTCTTCCATTTCCCATGAGCTCATATTTGCTCTGTACTCAGAAATATGTCTTCCCTCCTGAAGGTTGGTTTTGATCCTCATCCTCACATGCGAGTTCCTGGCATGCCCCCCAGTCTTACAGGAATCCCAGGTGGAAAGCCGTAAGTGTTGAAGTTTTTGAACATTTCTTTTTTGTACTTTTCCTCCTCCTTGAATTTCTCTGTTTTTCCTCCCCTTCCTCTTTGCGTCATCAGAGCCTACTCCTTCCACGTGGCGGCGGATGGACAGATGCAGCCTGTTCCGTTCCCTCCCGATGCGTTAGTGGGACCAGGAATACCCCGTCACGCTCGTCAGATCAACACTCTGAACCACGGAGAGGTGGTGTGTGCTGTCACCATCAGTAACCCCACCCGACACGTTTACACCGGTGGAAAGGGTTGTGTCAAAGTCTGGGACATTAGTCACCCTGGAAACAAGAGCCCCGTGTCCCAGCTCGACTGTTTGGTGAGTACAGGCCCTACAGAAGTAGAAAACGTTTGTCGTTAAGAGCTGAAAAGTATCTTCTCTGTGCTCATCATTTTAGAACCGTGACAACTACATCCGCTCATGTCGACTCCTCCCTGACGGTCGAACGCTTATAGTGGGCGGTGAGGCGAGCACGCTGTCCATCTGGGACTTGGCCACGCCCACTCCCAGGATTAAAGCAGAGCTAACGTCGTCAGCACCAGCATGCTACGCTCTGGCCATCAGCCCGGACTCTAAGGTCTGCTTCTCGTGCTGCAGCGACGGAAACATTGCAGTGTGGGATTTACACAACCAGACACTAGTTAGGTAAGAAGATACACGCGTGTGTTTAGTCAACAGGAACACCAGCGTGTGGGATGTGTTCCCGTGTTCAGTGTCAGTTTTTATAAATAAGAATTATTAGGTTGTTGCCATCAGGAATGACCCCAAACAAAAAGTCCCAGTCGAGCTTTTGTTTGTACAAGTGTGACACAAAGAGACAAAACATTGAATTATTTTACTACAACATTGTCAACTGATTTCAAATCATTCCAGCTGTGATACCCGCTAGCCACCCGTGTAACCTGGAGTTTTGTTTTGTCTTTGTTTGGACTCCTCCTCTTTTATTTTACCAAGAAACTGTCTGTGTATTTTGCAGGCAATTTCAGGGCCACACAGATGGAGCCAGCTGCATCGATATCTCCAATGATGGCACCAAGCTGTGGACCGGAGGCCTGGATAACACGGTTCGCTCCTGGGATCTGAGGGAGGGACGGCAGCTGCAGCAGCATGACTTTACATCACAGGTGCACACTCGTGTTGGCACTTTAACGTCTTCCTTGTTACCAAACCCAAAAAGCCATTCAGCGTAGCTAAAACTTTCTCCCCTCCGTTCAGATCTTCTCGCTCGGCTACTGTCCTACCGGAGAATGGCTTGCAGTTGGAATGGAGAGCAGCAACGTTGAGGTTCTTCATGTCACCAAGCCTGACAAGTACCAGCTGCACCTTCATGAGAGTTGTGTTCTCTCTTTGCAGTTTGCTTACTGTGGTGAGGATGTCTCCATACCAACATATGAGCTGCTTGTCTGATTCGCCTCCAGCTAACTCTAGGATAGGTGTCGTTAGAAAACAAACTGAGAGGATTAAGGGAATTAGTTAGATTTGAGCTGAAATTTGGCTGTGGATGTTTTTCTTTTAGGTCAAGAATTCCCAACCCTTATGTTTTATTTCAGCCAAAAATTATTCTTTCAACCCCCAGATCCAGGTTTCTAAGGATTTATTTGAGTTCATGTTCATCTGATTTCTTCCAGTGTTTGTATGATTTTTTTTTTTTCTATGCAGGCAAATGGTTTGTGAGTACAGGGAAGGACAACCTACTGAATGCATGGAGAACGCCTTACGGAGCCAGTATTTTCCAGGTTGGAATACATTGTTTCTCTTTATAGTCAAATAAAGTTTGTGCTGTATAAAACCGCAGCATTGTTAAACACTTCCTGCCATGATGTTGACAGTCACAGGATTATAAGGAGTCAGGATAGTGAACAGTTAGGATGAATTTGTGGTTGTGCAGTTAGTTTTAATCATGCGTGAGGAACAGTTGTACCAACACTCCAGTTAAAACTAAAAGATTTCTAAGAGATGAGTTCAACACACAAACTAACTTTTTTCCCTTTTTCTTCGATTGCTTCCTCCTCAGTCTAAAGAATCATCTTCGGTTCTAAGCTGCGACATATCTGTGGACGACAAGTACATAGTGACTGGTTCAGGGGACAAGAAGGCCACTGTTTATGAGGTCATCTACTGAAAAGATGGAAAGAAACAAGGATCTCTTCTGAAAAACAACTTCATATATTTCTTTTCACATAAAGCCAGAAATCCCAGACAATCCAGGTTCCTAATGGAACGTTTGTTTTTGTTCCACCTGCTGAAGAGACTCATAAAGAAGAGGACAAATGTCTTATTTGAGTGTTGGGCCTGTGAACGTTGCTGGGAATCTTCTGCTTCTGGTTGTGGTGGACCAGTCAGGGTTAAGAGACCAAAGGTGACATTACAGAACTTCGAGTGTAAAAAACGAAGCAGAGATAAAAATGCTGTATTTAAAAAATAGAAAGAAGAAGAAAGTTTTTGATTCCCTGGTACACCTTCACACTCTTGTCCTAACGAGGACTCCTGTCCTCACGGACTGTGCTGTCCACCCACATGCTTGGCTTCACCACCTCAAACACCGCAGTGTCCAATGGCACGCTGACCTGTCTGACATCACACCGCTGTAAACAGTGATGAGTTCATTCTCACCCATTTTAGAGATTGAAAAGTGTAAAAGGTGACCTTTTGTTCTTTTACCTGAGAGTGTCCGACTGTAAAAGTGCTCCAAAAGGCTAAATGTGCTCGCTTATATAAAGCACCTTCTTCTAATCCTAGTTGAGAGAACAATTGATCTCAGAGATTAAATAATCCTCAAATCTCCATTAATCCTCCTTTTCTACCATAATTGTTTTAACAGATTATTTCCCTGCTCGTATTTGTCACTCAGCAGGACGACCTAAATGTTCCTGGGATTTTAATGAATATTTAAACTATATTTCATTACATCTGCACTGAAATGAGTCAACAGATCTTTCCCACTCGCCTTCATCTGTGAAACACTTGATGTCTTATTGTTTGGATGCTTTATGCTTCCTAATGTGACTTAATCTTTTTGTATTTGTTGGAAATTCAGGTGGGAAAATTATTGTAGATGACCTCTTGACCATAAACAACAAAAACATTTCATCTTTTGTTTTCAGACAGGAAAATGTGCTGTTTCATGTTTTTTCACACAACAAAGACTAGATTATTGCTCATTTTTCAGTTTCAGAAGTCCGTGTCAGCCATTTGAACACTGTAAATTACACCCTCTTCTGTTTTTTAACCTGTTTTTAGTTTTTCTGTAAAAATGTAAATATCTTTTTCTTACCAGACATGCTTTAGAAACGACAGTTTTTGTACATCTCTAACATTTAATCAGGAATAATTCTAAATGGTCTTAAAGTAGCAAATGATTGCATTGTCTAGAAAATAAATGTGATTTCTTTTGTTTTGCTAATGGAGTCTTTACATTTCTGGTGACTCACATTCTGGCTGAATACTCAGATTTAAATACAAGCATCACTGACAGGAACATGTTTAAAAATCGGATTTGTAATCAGAGTATTGGATCAAAGTTACCTTACATAAAGGAAACTACCTAATTACCACAAGCACTGTCCAACAAATCTCAACATTAAATTAAAAAGCACATCATTAAAAAAGTTTTAACTAGTTCATCATTAACAATATTAATAAATAAAATATGTAATCTGGGTTTGTTACAACAGAGGAGATACGATGAGGGACGTTTCCTTTTAAACTCACTACAACTGAATTTCAATCGTCTGCACTTTTGATGCCTTTGGAAATTTTTTTTTTGTCTAAATGCTGCAATAATGTAGAGAACAGCACCGATTCTGGTTCTAAGAGCCGATACAGATGTCGGATTCATGCACATATCTGACCTGCCATTATGGGTTTTTGGCCAATTTTGGTTCATCTTGAACAATATTAACAAAATCCAACTTTTCCCCAAGTTTAACTTAATTAACTTAAAGGGACTTAACAGACTTTTGAATTTTTATGCTCGCGATTGCCCCCTCTGGCCAAAAGCGTAACGGCAGCTTCAATAGTAGGCTCGTGCACGAGGCGCGCATGCTGTACGTGCACACTCCGTAACGAAAATAACAGCTGAGACAGTCCCGTGTGTGTGTGTTTGTGTGGCCCGGAGGACAGAGGACAGGAGAACGCACATCTAATTAAATATTTTGGTTCTGTACCTTTCTCTTCAGCACAGCTGACAAAGGTTTATGATGGGTCAGTCCTCCTGCATGCTCAGATCATTCCCTTCCCTTGCTTGAAAAATTGTTCCAAAATGAAAGTTGAACCCACATCTTTTTTTTCTGTGAATTCAATGCCGTTCGGCGAGTCTCAAATAAAAATTTCGGCATCTTACTGTAAAAACATATACCATTAATGTAAAAAAGAAACTGTGTACACACCCAGAATCAAACCCAAGTCTTCTGCATGGGAGTCAGACATTTGACAAGGTGAGCTACACTCTAGTAACATTCACAGTATCTGTGACTTTTATATCCTTGATGACAGCTGAAACAACGTCAAACCAAAGAACGGTTCGAAGCAAAAATGGCTATTTTGTTGCTAATTTGCAGGAAATATCTAGAAGAAAGTTCTACAGAAAGTAGCTAAGGGTCCTCAGAAATGTAGCTAGCTTTGTCACTAGGCGTTAGGAACAGCGACAAAGTCGTCGGCACTGCCTCTCTCTCTGCTGCTAAAGCTACGGATAGCAAATGCTACAGGCTATGCCTGAGCGTGAACGCGCATGAAGCAGCCTGCTCCACCTGAGCAGGAAAATATGTATTTTCTTTTTCTGTGATTTTACAGAAAAACAGGCAATCACAGTAAAAATGCCAGGGCTCATTCTACAGGACCAGGGCATTGCAGGAGAATGTATGAAGAAGAAATTAATTATTACATGTTTTGGCTGTCAAACTTCCATAATGCCCCTATAAAAGAAATTTCCGCTTAAATGTTATTGTTAGCATGAATCAGCACTTAGCAATGGTGAGTTTTATCAGCAGCAAGATATGTTCTTGCTATCAAGGGTTGCGTTTACGGAGGAAAATAAATAAAAATCTGATCGGATCAATTCAGCAAATACAGTTGTGGTCAGAAGTTTACATACACTTGTAAAAAATATAATATAATGGCTCTACTGAGTGTCCCGTTATTTCTAAAACTCTGATTTTTCTCTGATAGAGTGATTGGAACAGATACTTCTTTGTCACAAAAAACATTCATGAAGTTTGGTTCTTTAATGTCTTTATTATGGGTTAACAGAGAAAAGTGATCATATTTGCTGGGCCACAAATATACATACAGCAACACGATCTAGCAATTTTGGTGACTTAGAAACGTGTCAGTGAACTGAGCTTCATAGCATGGCCTCTTAACTTCTTGTGAGTGATTATGAGTGACTACAGCGGGTGACTTCTCTTAGGCCAGGTAAATAGGGCTCATTGGATACAAACGCCCACAAACGCTACAATGGGAAAGTCAAAGGAGCTCAGCATGGATCTGAAAAAGCGAATTATTGACTTGAACAAGTCAGGAAAGTCACTTGGGGCCATTTCAAAGCAGCTGCAGGTCCCAAGAGCAACAGTGCAAACAATTGTTTGTAAGTATAAGGTGCATGGCACTGTTTCATCACTGCCAAGATCAGGAAGAAAACGCAAGCTATCACCTGCTGCTGAGAGAAAATTGGTCAGGAGGGTAAAGAGTGAACCAAGAATCACCAGAAAGCAGATCTGCCAAGAATTAGAAGCTGCTGGAACACAGGTGTCATTGTCCACAGTCAAACGTGTTTTGCATCTCCATGGACTGAGAGGCTGCTGTGCAAGAAGGAAGCCCTTGCTCCAAAAGCGGCACCTTAAGGCTCGACTGAAGTTTGCTGCTGATCACATGGACAAAGTTAAGACCTTCTGGAGGAAAGTTCTGTGGTCAGATGAAAGGAAAATCGAGCTTTTTGGCCACAATGCCCAGCAATATGTTTAGAGGAGAAAAGGTGAGGCCTTTAACCCCAAGAACACCATGCCTACAGTCAAGCATGGTGGTGGGAATATTATGCTGTGGGGCTATTTTGCTGCCAATGGAACTGGTGCTTTACAGAGAGTAAATGGGATAATGAAGAAGGAGGATTACCTTCACATTCTTCAACATAACCTAAAATCATCAGCACGAAGGTTGGGTCTTGGGTGCAGTTGGGTGTTCCAACAGGACAATGACCCCGAGCACACATCAAAAGTGGTAAAGGAATGGCTAAATCAGGCTAGAATAAGGGTTTTAGAATGGCCTTCCCAAAGTCCTGACTTAAACACCATTGAAAACATGTGGACAGTGCTGAAGAAACAAGTCCATGTCAGAAAGCCATCAAATTTAACTGAACTTCACCAATTCTGTCAAGAGGATTGGTCAAAGATTCAACCAGAAGCTTGCCAGAAGCTTGTGGATGGCTACCAAAAGCGCCTAATTGAAGTGAAAATGGCTAAGGGACATGTAACCAAATATTAGCACTGCTGTATGTATATTTGTGACCCAGCAAATGTGATCACTTTTCTCTGTTAACCCATAATTATGACATTAAAGAGCCAAACTTCATGAATGTTTTTGTGACAAAGAAGTATCTGTTCCAACCACTCTATCAGAGAAAAATCAGAGTTTTAGAAATAACGGGACACTCAGTAGAGCAATTATATTTTTTTACAAGTGTATGTAAACTTCTGACCACAACTGTATGTTGAATATGGGCAAATGTCCAATCAGCCAATTTTCTTTGGTGCTTCTTTATAAAACATTTTGAATCTTTTTTTATTTACCAAATCCTTAAAGTGATTGTGTGTATTTCACCTGGTGATAGGGGGCAGTGCATACCTAAATCATTGTAAGCAAAAAGTATGTATGTGTTTGAGTAAGACCTTAATGAATGGAGGGCCATTAGGGTCAAAAATCTGTGGTAGCGCAACCTCCAGCAAAACGAGCACATCAGACTCCCTTTCATCACTGGCAACAAGCGAAGAGGTAAATGTGTAAAACGTTTATGAATGGCGAAAGTTTGTAATTGTTACAAATCATTAAACGCATTTTGTCCTCATGGGCTTCTGAAGGAGAAAACATGGCGTCATCCAAGGACGCCATGTTTCCTCCTATGGTCTTCTGTGAAGTTCACTTGGAGGAAGTGCGTAGTACACAAGTGTACAAATAATTGCTGAATATGGACAGGGCATATAACCATCAACAATTCATCTCGGGATGCTGGTGGCCGTTTGTCTTACTTTAAAAAAATTCTTTTTATCAACTTTCAAACAACCAAAAAACATTCATTGACCACAATAAATATTTGTCTAAAACATTCAGTGCATCAATAAATATTAATCGCCCCAAAATAAACCACTTTCATTTCAAAATACATATTTTCAGAAAGGGCGATTGAGCCTTTGCTCCACCTTCATCCCAAAATTCCCACGCAGCAATGGGTTGTGGGTAATATCCTTCGCCGAAGTCCACATCGATTCAGACTTGGGTGAAGTGTGGATCAAGGGTGCAAAAGGGTTGTGGTCAACTTCCACACTTGAGAATCGGGACACCCTGTGCACCCTGGATGGGATCACGCAAATGATGGGTGCAAGGGTGGATGTGTGAGTGTTGGGATTGGGCTTTAGACCCACTCCCATGTATTTTAGACCCAATTCTTTTGGATACATGTTACGAAGCTGCCATTATTCTTCAACAACTGGATATAATTAATTTTCAATACATTTTTGATGGATATTTCCAGAGATGAACAGTAAAAACTACACATTGTCCCTTTAAGTTACAAAATTAACTCCTGAACTTTACAAAAAATAGGAACATCTGTTTTTCTTTTTTCGACTGATAAAATTATTTCTCTTCAAACTCATTTCATGTTGCACTCATCACCATAAAAGACATAAAATCAAATTCCTCGGAAAGATGTTTAACTTTGATGGCCCAAAACATCTGAAGAGAGTTGAATCCGAATTATTGGTAACACTTTACAACAAGGGTCCCTTTATTAACGTTACTTAATGCATTATTAAGCTTTTTTAAGCATTAATGACAACTGCATTAGCAGATAACCATCCCCCTAGCCCTTTGTCCTCACCTTAAGAACACCTATAGTATTAGGAATGCTAATAAAGGAACCTTTATTATAAAGTGTTACCAAATATTCCACAAATGATTCAGTTTGACACTTTTGCAGACTGCTCAAGAGACTTTTTGTGTTTTGCTAGTTTTAATGAAAACATTAAAAGAGGTCTGATATTTATGCAGAAACAAAGACATAAAAGCAGAATGATGAGTAGCAGGCAGATGGAAAATGGATTTGTCCAATCCTCAGCATCAGTGCTGGTCCAGTCCGGAAACACATACAGGTGCTGAGCTGTCGAGAACAACCACCTTCTTTGTATTTGGGAG